TTTTTCAGCATTTAATGTTTGAACAAATGTCATGAAAATAAGTTATCATCACAACCACTGTTTAAATGTTTATATTTCAGAAAATTATTTGGAGTAGAAACTTCATTTAAAATAGTTTTTAAATGTGTGTCAATGCCCATCACTAATTACAACCATTTTCTTGTCATATTCTATGTGCTCTTCTTTGGGGGACTTAAACTCATGCAGTGGAAGTGGAAGTTCTACTTGTTTATTGAGTGAAAAGAGAGCTCAACTGCTGAAAAACTTATTAAAATATGGAGCCTATGGAACATGAAAATTCTCCAATTCCATGTTTCCACATAGTATATGCTTATTCACATAGGTGTGCTTAATGAAAAATCATACTTTGCAGTTTTGTGAAACCCTGCACAGAATAAGTAGATATTCATTATACAGTGGTGTGAAAAAATGTTGGCCCTCTTCCTGTTTTTTTTAATTGTTTGCATATTTGTCACACTTGGAGTCAGATCATCAAACAAATTTTAATACTACACAAAGATAATGCAAGTAAATACAAAATGCAGTTTTTAAATTATTATTTATTTTATTAAGGGAAAAAAGCTGTCCAAACCTGCCTGGCCCTACGTGAAAAAGTAATTGCCCCCTAAATCTAATAACTGGTTGTGCCACGCTTTGCAGCAACAACTGCAATCAAGTGTTTGAGATAACTGGCAATGAGTCTTTCACATCGCTGTGGAGGAATTTTGGCCCACTCTTCTTTGCAGAATTGTTTTAATTCAGCCACATTGGAGGGTTTTCGAGCATGAATGGACTGTTTAAGCATTTCAATCGGATTTAAGTCCGGATTTTGACTTGGCCACTCCAAAACCTTAATTTAGTTTTTCTTGAGCCATTCAGAGGTGGACAACCCAAGTGCGCTTGAGCTTGACGTCACACACTGATGACCGGACATTCTCCTTCAGGATTTTCTGATAGAATGCAAAGCAGCCCCAGACCATCACACTACCACCACCATGTTTGACTCTTGGTATGATGTTCTTTTTATGAAATGCTGTGTTGGTTTTACACCAGATGTAACGGGACACACACCTTCCAAAAAGTTAAACTTTTGTCTCATCAGTCCACAGAATATTTGCCCAAAAGTCTTGGGCAAATGAGAGACGAGCCTTTGTGTACTTTTTGGTCAGCAGTGGCTTTAGTCTTGGAACTCTCCCATGGATGCCGTTTTTGCCCAGTCTCGTTCTTATTGTTGAATCATGAGCACTGACCTTAATTGAGGCAAGTGAGGCAAGTGAGGCCTGCAGTTCTTCCAGATCATCACACTACCACCACCATGTTTGACTGTTGGTATGATGTTCTTTTTATGAAATGCTGTGTTGGTTTTACGCCAGATGTAACGGGACACACACCTTACAAAAAGTTCAACTTCAACTTCAACTGTCAGTCCACAGAGTATTTTCCCAAAAGTCTTGGGGATAATCAAGATATTTTTTGGCAAATGAAAGACGAGCCTTTGTGTTCTTTTTGGTCAGCAGTGGCTTTTGCCTTGGAACTCTCCCATGGATGCCGTTTTTGCCCAGTCTCTTTTTTATTGTTGAATCATGAACACTGACCTTAATTGAGGCAAGTGAGGCCTGCAGTTCTTTAGATGTTGTTCTGGGTTCTTTTATGACCTCTTGGATGAGTCGTCGTTGTGCTCTTGGAGTAATTTTGGTTGGCCGGCAACTCCTGGGAAGGTTTTCAAGTTTTTTCAATTTGTGGATAATGGCTCTGACCATGGTTTGCTGGAGTCCCAAAGCCTTAGAAATGGCTTTATAA